AGGGGAGCGAAATCAGACGCGCTCGTTTTTTCAGACGCCTGCAGAAAAAGGCTTACCAAAACAAAGTTACTGGGTTAATCTTTTTCACGTTTCCTTGGTTGGTAGATGCACCGGGGACCTGATTATAGCACTTAAATCCTGGAAAAGTCCGATTTTCATGATATGTCACCTTTAAGGTAGACAATGATATGCTGTTTTTAAGTCACATGACATTTGAATGTCCTCCAAAATTCTTTTTCCCACTGTCACCCTCACATGGAAGACACCTGTTGAGTTGCTCTATTAACCTAATTTCTAAACATCTCTTCTCAAGGGGGATTTTTCTTGCAGCATCTTTAAGTAAATTTGATATTTTTATTTACAATTTAACTTTGTCTAACATAGTTTTACTGAAAATTTAGAAAATATCAATGTTTCCATATGGCAACGCTGTACCACAATGGAATTGCAGTAATGTATTTCACCATTGGGATTTTTTATAGATAGTAGCATCAATAATATGATTGCAGTTATTTGTTTATTTGAAGTGTTTATTGTAGTATAGTTGTATTTATGTATAAATAACACAATTATTTCTTCTTTTCAGAAAATGAATACAGCAATATTTTACAGAAAGGCCAATAGGAAGAGTGCAGAGTTTGCTCTTCCATGTGATGAGAGTGAGGATGAGTTAGCCTTTAGTGAAGGTTAAATGATAGGGATGTACTTATTTTTGGTTTGCATGAGTATATAAATCTATCAATTTCTAAAAGAAATGTGCATTTAAATAGAAAAGAAAATCATAATTTTATAGAAAACCTACTTTTTTGACCATTTTCTATTGTGGTACAGCGTTGCCATATCGCAACGTTTCCATAAGTACCCATCCCTCCCCCACCCCAAAAAAATCTTTCTTCAAAAATCTGTTTTGATTTGTATGATTGAAGCTATTTCAAGTAATAAAAACTTATTTGAAAAAATATTTCATGGTTAGAACATAATGCATACCATAGAGGGTTAATATTATATTATATATATTATATTTCCCCTCAAAAACATAAAATTTATGTTTAACGTGTTTTTTAAACATGCAGCAAATGAAAGTAGGCAATTAATTGGATAAAAATTCTTACTGTTGGTTAACAAATTTACATTAGTATTCTTATGCTTAAACTTCTGGCTTCATTCTGGCGTTGTTTTTTCACAGACTTGATTGTAAATGTTTGTGGTTTTTTAATGTACGATAGATTCAATGTGTGTTGTAGGCTACTTTTCATATTTTTAGTAGCTATATACAGCAAAACTACAGCGCTTTCAGTAGGTGCCCCAAAAATTGTGAATGCCCCCACACTTTGTGCGCTCTGGCGCTGACCCTGTTCACATGGCGGAGCTGATTGGTTTCTTTTAGTATCAGCAACCAATGAGCTTGCTGCTCAACATTCACAACCTAGCAGTTGCAGCGAACTTCAGAAAACATCTGAAATCAACCTCTCTATCATTACGCATATTGCGTGGTCTGCCTAATTAATTAAAAAATTTGTATGCATTTCAACCGGGGTTTGCCATATTTAGCTGCGTAACCTCAATGTTCATGTTTGTTTATTTCTAAGGTCAATGTTTTCATTAGCTGTGCTGAGTGTGCGGTTGATTTCAGCTGCACGCAGCATCAGAGGCACGCTCTTTTATCGCTCCTAATGGCTTTACTATACAATAAGAGTATAAAAGTTATATCAATGGCAGTTATCAAATGACTTAAATTATGATATTTTGCTCAGGTGGATGCTGGGGCTCTTATCTCATCAGCTTTCAACGTATATCCTTTTGTTAACTACACATACTGCGCGTTCTATAGTTAAGCCGGTCGGCATGGTAGCCAAGGCATACATAGTCATAGGCCACTATTGTTAAGCCAGTCGGTATGGTAGCCCAGGCACACATAGATAATAATAATATATGCGGTTCACTTGGCTCTTTGGAGCAGTAGCAGTACATATGTCATGACGATAGATCTGCTTTTTTGGGGGGTGTTTTGTTCTATCCTGTTCTGTTTTTATTCTTTTCATGTGTGTGTATATATGCATGTCTGCTGATGCAGCAGTATTATATTCTTACACTCAGCGGCATGTATTTATTGGCCTGTATTGTTCATTTCTTGAGTCTCCTGCTTTGTTGGGGGGTAATTTCATATATGTTATACATGCAGCAGCAGCAGTATTTCCTACAAGCTCACAGCAGCATGTCTGTGGATGTATTGGCAGTAGCAATACAGTCTCTGTACTTGCTCTGCCGCAGCAGCATCAGCGTAGCAGATCTGTTCCGCCAAGACTAAACACATTAACATTGTCATATACACTCTTAAAAATAAAGGTGCTTCACGATGCAATAGAAGAACCTTTTTGTCTAAATGGTTCCATGAAGGACCTTAACATCTGAAGAACCTTTCTGTTTCACAAAAGGTTCTTTGTGGCGAAAGAAGGTTCTTCAGATTATAAAAAGGTAAGAAAGAGATGGTTCTTTGTGGAACCAAAAATGGTTCTTCTATGGCATCGCTTGAAGAACCTTTTGAAGCACCTTTATTTTTAAGAGTGTACATTACCATGCTAAAATCTCAGAGAGTTGTCATGACAGAACTGCACATTTGTACTTGTGTTAAGTACAACAACAGATAATCCAATCTTGAGGCTTTTTTATGTTTGTATATGCCAACACATTTTTAGATGTCTTCTGCTGATAACTTTGCAGACAAGCTGAAAAAACTTCAAGAAATTATTTCTTCTCTAGATATTTCATCAGCGACAAACACACGGTTGACATGTTTCTTTTTTTAGATGGCTACATTTGAAGATTATTGTGTAATAACCCAGGAGGATTTGGAAGATATGAAAGACACCATATCAACTCAGGATCTCTCATCAGCGATAACCACGATAAAAGAATACCTTAAAAAGCAGGATCTTGTAGAACTTAACATTGGTGTGACAGGAGAGTCTGGTTCTGGAAAGTCCACGTTTGTCAATGCATTCAGGGGTTTAGGAGATGAAGAAGAGGGTTCTGCTAAAACTGGTATAGTGGAGACCACTACAGAACCAGCGGTTTACCTTCACCCAAAATACAAAAATGTGAAAGTGTGGGATCTTCCTGGCATTGGAACACCAAACTTCAAAGCTGATGAGTACCTTAAAATGGTTCAGTTTGAACGCTATGATTTTTTCATCATCATTGCTTCAGATCGGTTCAGAGAATGCCACACTCAGCTGGCCACACAGATCATGATAATGAAGAAAAGATTTTATTTTGTTCGTTCCAAGATTGACTTGAGCATTGAGGCCGAAAAGAGAAAGAAAAACTTTGACCTGAAAAAGACACTGGATACCATCAGAAAGGACTGTGAAAACGGTTGGTTTATTCAGCATGAAATTGCAATGTTTTGACAAACACAATTATCATTACATTTTTGAGGTTGTCATTAACATTATGCTTTATTGTGGATATATATTTGGCCATCTAAAACTGATATTAATATAAATGATTGTAGAATTCATGATAATAGGCATTTTTGTTTATGAATAATACAATAATCCTTTGTTAATGATTACATAATTCATAATACCTTTATATTTTTATAGGGTTGAGAAAGATCAGTATAGAAGATCCTGTCGTGTTCCTGATTTCTGGCTGGGAGCTCGGAAAGTATGATTTAAATGTTCTGCAGGAGAGGATGGAGAAGGAACTTCCACAGCATAAGAGACGTGTGCTGATGCTGGCTTTGCCGAATATCACACTGGAGATTAATGAGAGAAAGAAGAAAGCTCTAGAGGAAAACATTGGAAAAGTTGCCTTCCTGTCTGCTTGTGTGGCAGCTGTTCCTGTTCCTGGTCTTTCAATTGCTGTGGATTTAGCCATCATAGCAGTTGAGATAGAGAAGTACTGCAATACCTTTGGTCTTGATAAGGAGTCTTTGGAGAAGCTCTGTGAAAGATATGGGAAGAGAATAGAGAATGTCGAGGGTCTGATTAAGTCAGCTTGGTATAAAGGAATATGCACAGGTTCAATAATAACCATACTAAGAGAAATATCCTTTCTGATAACAGAAGATGCTGTTGAGTCTGTTGTTAGGTTTATACCCTTTTTAGGCGCTGTGGCGGCAGGAGCAATGTCCTATTGGGCTGTGTCAACAATGCTGAAGAGTGCTCTGAATGAAGTAGCAGAAGATGCCAGGAATGTGCTAATCAGTTTGCTGGAGACTGAAGTGTAATCAGACAGATTTACTGTACCAGCTATTTAAAGTGGTCACAAGGTTTATAATACTCTATGCTTAAAAGTTAATTCTTTTGGAAAGAACAAAATAGTCCTGGCACATTTTATACACAGAATTTGAATATACAATTATGATAAACATTTGTTATGTTATATTGATTTTTGTTTTAAATGAGTGATCTAAGAAAAGCAATATAGCCTACTAAATACTAGATACTAAATAATAAATCAAAACCAAATAAGCAGCCTCAAAAGATAACTGAATTAAAAAGTACTTTAAGAACACAGCATGAAACTGTAGTAACAAATGTGTTGCTTGTTTACAAGCATAAATATATAAACATAAACAGCACTTCCCAGTATTTTATACTCAGTAAAGCTTGATACAAAAAGTGATACAATTAAAATTTTATTTTTCATGAGGGCTATTGGACTGTTAATTATTTACTAATATTGAATTATACAAAAAATCTTCCTGCAATCTATGGAATTACCTTTGTGCCTATTAAAATGAATGTAATTTTTCAAGATACTTATGAAAATATAAATTGAAACTGAATAAAATGTCTTTGAAACTGAAAAAAAAATTGAAGGCAAAATCTTTGACTTCCTTTGTTTATACACTGCATGTTTTGCAAGGGGTTTCTCCTCTTTCATTTGCTGATCTGTACTTACAAATGCGCTTCCAGAGTTTTCATTTACGCTTCTGAAGTTTTCGTGCGCCATTCTGGCACAAATCTCTCGTGGGGGCTAGCAGCGGTGTGTTCTCATTGGCTACTGAGTTTTTGATTGACAGCTTCTTTGACCTGGTAGTGAAGGCGTCGATGTTGCCTTGCCAGTGTGGATGTGAGCATCTGTTAGCGGCTTCCAATTTCATTTTAGTGACATAAAGTTAGGAGTTTTGTTTTTGAATTCAATCTGTATTTATCTGTTGCTACTAGCCTACTCTGTCAACATATGCTTTTAGTATGCCTCAATACCACAACTGATGTGAGACCCTAGAGCAAGGCACCCTTGGATGCAGGGCTGGCCCAAGCCTTTATGGGGCCCTAAGCAGAACACCCATTATCACTTTAATTTGTTGTAGCTGTGTTGCTTATATGTCTGCCTGGCATGTTTTTACCCTTCTACGATTTTTAATTGTAACAGTAGCAAACCCACAAGAGTGGTCAGGTGTTAATTTGCACTTTAACATTCAAAGTCTTACAGTACTAAGTGGCATACTTAATGTGGTGTACTGAAAAATGGCTAAATATTATATTTTAACAACATAAATTATTAAACACTTCAGCAAGTCATCTGTACATCTAAAACAACAAATCTTAATCTATAGCTACTTGAGGCATAATGATGTTGAAATATAATAGCAAAGGCCCCAAAGATAGACTAAGGTAAATAATGTTAAGCTGTTATACCAAGTTTATGAAACAGAAGCTTATTTTTATTACAAAAATATATAGGCTACCCAGGAAAGTTATTTTTACACAGAAGACAAAAACTTTAGGCCTAATCTAAAACTAGCTAAGTAAAATGTTGTCAAGGCTATTTACGGATGTTTAATAAAATATGAACTTCACTAAAACAAGATGATACCCTACCTACCTTATTTTAGGTTTCAGACGTTCAAATAGACATTTCAATTAAGTGCCAGCAAAAAAAAAAGACATTAAATAGCTTACACACTGATTTCCAAATTCCACTGAAAGCTGCAATAATAATCCTTTCAAATTTGACGAGGTGTTTTATTCCTATCAAATACACATTGTGTATAGGTAACAATAACGTTTACTCTGTTTTTCTCCCAGTTCACTGGCCACTAATTACTTTCATGTCACCCACTTTCTGGCCACCCACTTTTCATCAAAAGGGTGAATTTACGTGATGTTAATCCGACAGATCCACACCACAGCGTCCAGCGCGCATTTATAGATCAACTAACATGGAGGTTGTTTAAACGACAAAACAAATTAATTTACACATATCAGACAATCAGAATATAGGCTGTAGGCCTATCATATAGTTCATGGTATAGTTAACAAGTTTGTGGATATTTTGAATAAAAAAGGAAAATCTAAATAAAAGTGATACATCTGTCATTCAGCGCTATTGTGCCTGCATGACGCGTCGCTATGGAAATAATAAGATGACATAATATATCACAAAATAAAAGCTGTCATTTCATATAGTCTTGGGGCCCCCTGGTGGCCATGGGGGCCCTAAGCAGCCGCATAGTTCGCTTATGCCTTGGGCCGCTCCAAATGCAAACTTTCCAAATGCAAACGCAAAACGCACAGATTACCCAACATTGGTTACACTGTATTGACAGTAAAATGACCCAGCAGCTGAGGTAGGCTACAGAAAAACTATGGGTTAAAAAATAATAAAAAATAACCCAGCATTTTTAGAGTGCAGAAAAATACCCAGCACCTGGGTAGTAATATATTAAAATATAAAAAATAACCCAATAAAATGACCCAACAGGCTGAACCCGGCATTTTTTAAAGTGTGATTTTGGGTTAGGCCTACCCCCAAAAACACTGCCATTAATAAAGAATGGTATGAAAATATCTTGCAAGACACCTTCTCCCAACGATCCAGGAACAATTTGGTGATGATCTGTGCATTTTCTAGCATGATGGAGCACCATGTCACAAGAAGGCAAGAGTGATAAGTGGTTCGGAGATCATTACATTGAAATCTGAGGCCAGGCAACTCACTGGATCTTAATCCCATAGAGAACCTGTGGCCAGTCCTCAAAAGTCGAGTGGACAAGCAGAAGCCCACAAATTGTGATCAACTGCAAGCGTTAATAAGTTAAAAACGGATTTGGCCAAAAAGCCAAGGGCTTCATTGAAGAATGAAGACAGACTAGCTGTGTAAAACATACTACTTTATACGAAACTGACAAATAGATATTTGCAAAAACATTTTTAACATTAGTAATTAAGTTTGGTAAACAAAAATAATAATAAGACAACTTACTGTTACATATTTTGTTCCTAACTTGTTTAGTTGTGTTGATATGTTTGGATTCCTTAATCAGGAGATCTGGGTTGATTGAGAATACTTTATATTGAGTATCTTAGTTTGGGTACTTCTCAGACCATTTTTGTCTATTGCTACGTTTGTATATACTTTTATAAAAATATCAATTTTATTTTGTATATCATTTTTGAAATGGTGTTCACAGGACTCTATCTACTGTACATTAACAATTGTAGTTATTTTGAAAACAATTTTTTTTATGAGATTATATTTCTTTCTCTATATACAGACTTTTCACTGTATTTTCTAATTTTTACTTCCTTAGGATTTAAGTATCAATAACAGTCTTCGCTGCCTTCTACGGTCAGGTAATTATTTTAAAACAAGTTATCATCCGAAGCAGTAGGTGGCGGTGTGGGGCTTAGAGTGTTTCCGTACACACAGTGGACACGTCATGCTAGCGGAACACTAAAATCATCTGCTCGTGTTTTCAGCTTCTTAATTTTGAGGTTCAAGCTGACGGACAAAGGTAAAGTGCTTGCTAAATATATATGTATATATTTTATAGAAAATATGATGAGAGTGAAGCATTAAAACATGAGGTTTGTATGTGATTGTGTATACGTAAACCGTCAACTTTGTATAATAATCTGAAATGTAATCCTAGTTTGTCGCATTTACATTATAGATCTATACTAGAGTAATTGATCTTAGTCTTTCAATACATGTTTTATTATAGTGCATTAAATACAATTAATTATGCTTTGTACAATAATTATACTGAAATCATGTTCTTGTGATCTTGTGTTGTACACGTAAGCATACAAAAATAACAGTTTGAAGTGTATCGAGAGTCGTAATTTTAAAATAAGTAAATGTGTATTTTTAAAGGTGTTATATTGAAGGTCATATCCGTGTATCATAGAACTGTAAACACGAGCCTTTTATTGCAAAATGAATTCATTCATTCATTGCTGAATGTCTTTTTAATCAAGTGGCTTCACTTGTCCAAATGTGTATCTATCACATCATACGCTTGTGTATTCCAGCACTGGTGATAACGTTTTTGTTGTAGTTTCATTGTTCCTAACAAATTGAGATGTTCATTATATTAATTAAATGTGTCATTTCACCTCCACAGATGAGGCTGCTCTGTATATTTGCTCTGGTTGCTGTGGTGGGTCTGGTGGCAGGAGAAGAAGGGGCACGTCTGTTGGCCTCGAAGTCCCTGCTTAACCGATATGCTGTAGAGGGACGAGACCTTACCCTGCAGTACAACATCTACAATGTGGGCACCAGGTATTGTTCTCTCTGAATTTAACCAAATAAGTTTAAGGACTGATAAAGGGCTTTGTGTTACGTTGAAACCGCATAAACATTAAGTAGCTGATGGGAGCCTTTCTAATATTGTTTATTATTGTTTAACTTTTTTTTCCTCCTTTTTGCCTCTTTCTAGTGCTGCGCTAGAGGTTGAGCTGTCCGATGACTCGTTCCCCCCTGAAGATTTCGGAATTGTCTCTGGAATGCTCAATGTGAAATGGGATCGTATTGCTCCGTATCCTCATTCATCAAGCAATAGTTGTACCAGATACAGGCTACATATATATATATATATATATATGTATGTGTGTATATACACTCACCGGCCACTTTATTAGGTACACCTGTTCAATTGCTTGGTAACACAAATTGCTAATCAGCCAATCACATGGCAGCAACTCAATGCATTTAGGCATCTAGATGTGGTGAAGACGACTTGCTGAAGTTCAAACCGAGCATCAGAATGGGGAAGAAAGGGGATTTAAGTGACTTTGAACGTGGAATGGTTGTTGGCGCCAGATGGGCTGGTCTGAGTATTTCAAAAACTGCTGATCTACTGGGATTTTCACGCACAACCATCTCTAGGGTTTACAGAGAATGGTCCGAAAAAGAGAAAATATCCAGTGAGCGGCAGTTATGTGGACGAAAATGCCTTGTTGATGTCAGAGGTCAAAGGAGAATGGGCAGACTGGTAAGAGATGATAGAAAGGCAACAGTAACTCAAATAACCACTCGTTACAACCAAGGTATGCAGAATACCATCTCTGAACGCACAACACGTCGAACCCTGAAGCAGATGGGCTACAGCAGCAGAAGACCACACCGGGTGCCGCTCCTGTCAGCTAAGAACAGGAAACGGAGGCTACAATTCGCACAGGCTCACCAAAATTGGACAATGGAAGATTGGAAAAACGTTGCCTGGTCTGATGAGTCTAGATTTCTGCTGCGACATTCAGATGGTAGGGTCAGAATTTGACGTAAAGAACATGAAAGCATGGATCCATCCTGCCTTGTCTCAACGGTTCAGGCTGGTGGTGTTGGTGTAATGGTGTGGGGGATATGTTCTTGGCACACTTTGGTCCCCTTTACCAATTAAGCATCGTTTAAACACCACAGCCTACCTGAGTATTGTTGCTGACCATGTCCATCCCTTTATGACTACAGTGTACCCATCTTCTGATGGCTACTTCCAGCAGGATAATGCACCATGTCACAAAGCTCAAATCATCTCAGACTGGTTTCTTGAACATGACAATGAGTTCACTTTACTCAAATGGCCTCCACAGTCACCAGATCTCAATCCAATAGAGCACCTTTGGGATGTGGTGGAACGGGAGATTCGCATCATGGATGTGAAGCCGACAAATCTGCAGCAACTGCGTGATGCTATCATGTCAACATGGACCAAAATCTCTGAGGAATGTTTCCAACACCTTGTTGAATCTATGCCACGAAGAATTAAGGCAGTTCTGAAGGCAAAAGGGGGTACAACCCGGTACTAGCAAGGTGTACCTAATAAAGTGGCCAGTGAGTGTATAAACCGGCTGAAATGCTTTGAAATCACTTGTACCCTACCTGATCGAAAAAATCCAGTCTCTCACTCTGTCTGTGTCAATTTGAGTCTTGTTAAAGTTTTAAATCCCTGCCGCCAAGATGCTCCTCTGTCCGTCACGGATTATAGAAAGTCAAACTTAAATCTATAGGGGTGGTTGGATTTATTCACATACGTTAAAATATTTATTTAAAGCTTCTTTCTTTTCAGATTCTTATTTACATCATTATTTTATAAGCTGTATATTAACTTTGGGAGAAAACCGGTAGTTCTATGTGAAATCAGACATTTGAGCACCCCCATATAGCCAAAATAGCATGATCATAACACCCCGCGAATATTCGACTGTGAGATTGGGAGTCGAATCAGGCTCCTCCTATCGAAGCATCGAATTGTCGACTATTCGGGGTCACCCCTATTTATCTCAATTCCTCAGCATATCCAATAGCTCAGAAAAACTTGATGATGCAACAAACTATGGACTCTCTCTTTTCTAGCATTTTAGATACGGTTGCTACAGTATTGCATCAGAAAGTGCGCTATAGATCCCCTGAAGAACAATTCCACTCATTCTCTACTATAGGAGAGGAAGAATTGTATAAACTTGTTAAATGATCTAAACCAACAACATGTATGTTAGACCCTATTCCATCTAAGCTCCTAAAAGAGGTG